CGTTAAACAGGGCGCCCGTTAAGCGAGGCAGCACTGTACAACCAATCTACATTTATTCAAACACAAGCATGTCATCTTCTTCTGGTTGCTGCACAATGGTGGAGGGCGGGGTTTCACTTAACTAGGGCTTATTCTTGGGGTAGGGTTTATATTACGAGCATCCTGAAAAATCATATTAGGGCTTATTTTCACATTAGGTCTTATTTTCGGGGAAACAGGGTAATAAACAGAAGTCCAAAAAAACTCTCAATACTAAATTGTGAGGTAAGACAATACTGTAACAGTATTGGCTAAACACAACCCAGTGCAGCACCTGTGAAGTCAAGGCGTTTCCATTCTTCAGACAAGCAGCCCAGGATTCAGAAGCCTAAACACCCCATGCCATTTTACTGTCAACTTCCTCATTTATTTGCGCCCCAACTAGCTATTTTAACAACAAGGTTGTTCTGCCTCACAGCACTATCAGGTGCCTATTTTAAAAAAAAAGCAGCACATGATGTGGCTATTTTTCATCTGAATATATTCTATGCAAAACAAAACAGGTTGTTCCACTGTTAATAAAACTCCTACCCTATATAATTAAGCTCTTCCTTAAATATTTCTCACAATCTCAGTAAAGCATTTTAGCATATCAAGCAGAAAAAGTAAAGAAATGCGCATTAGCTACATTTTTCAATAAGAGTAAAAACAGAAGCTTCTGGTAGGAGGCATCACACAAAATCTGTCATTCATGTTCTAACTACAAACATTTAACCACTTGTTTTTAATTGTAAATGAAATTTTCCCCATAAAAAGTGAAGTAAACTTTTAGGAATCCCTACATGGTTTACTGTACTGTATATCTAAGAACACACGTATACAATTGCTTAACTAGAGCTGAACTTCTTCCACTAAATTTAAGTACTAGGTTAAGTACAAATGTACATGATTAAGTACAAATGCATAATAGATGATGAGAGTTTTGTTGAACATGCCTTGCTTTCTAGAAGTAAAAGCAGAAGGCCATCAACTTTGCTGTTTTAACACAACTGACTACCTTTGATTCGCAACAATCCATTAATTATTAAAGCAACTAACCTTTCTCTCATTTTCAAGTAACAAGATTTCTTAGGTTAGGCCTATTTCAAAATCACTCTTTGAATATGAAAATCAAAGCTGTTTGTTATTACAGTTTGACTTCTTTCTGAAGCATAGAAACTAGCAAGCTTTTCTATGGGAAAGTTAAATTTTCAACATAAACAATGCAGTTTCCATAGTCTCTGAATCCTTTGGTTGTTCACACATTGTAACGGGTTGTCCACTGAGAAATTATTTGGAAGCAAAAAACCTAATGTTCTACACTACAGCCATTATCACTACTTTATTGGTCCGTTTCCTTCATGATCTGGAAGTCAGCTTATACAATGCCTTCTGCTGTTCATGGTTAGTTCACTCCAAAGAGGATTAAAACTATTAATATTTAGCACTATCATTACCTAACATAAATCAAAATTGAGGAACATCATCACTATTCATTACTGATGGAAAAGGTATTACAAAAGGAGGCCAATACTGGCTCTCTAAAATGTTGCAGTGCTTCTGTATCATTTATCTGAACTCTGTTTTGTTATTCAAATAGATGTAGACTGGTATTCCCAACCATGGGTCTCTAGATATTCCTGGACTACAGCTCCCAGAAATCCTGGCCAGCACAGCTAGTGATAAAGGCTTCTGGGAGTTTTAGTCCTAGAACATTTGTTGAGCCAAGGTTGGGAAACCCCCCCCCCCAATATAGACAATCATATTATGTATTTAAATGTACAGTAGTTCCCAAACACGGGCCCCAAATGTTCTTGGGCTACAACTCCCAAAAATCTCTGCTTGCTTGCATAATCAATGTTCAAGACATTTGAAGTTGTAGTCCAGATACATCTCACTTCCACATTTGGGAGCCACAGCAAGAAAAAGCAAACTGCAGCCTCCAGGCTGAATCCATTGTCCAGAGCAGACCCTCAACGGCATCCACACACACCCATTTTGGCCCTAAAACCACAAATTATGGCTCCCCTCCAGAAGCCTCAATATATATAATGTTATTGTTGCGTAATTTCAACACATACTGAAAGGCCTTTCTAAAAAGTGGGGTGGGTGGTGGCATTTATCTTCACCAACTAATTTTAGAAGGTCCTGCAGCTCAGGAGATTACATAAACATTTTGGGGGGAATGATCTGACTTTTTTTTTCAGGTGACCCCTCCAAAACAGCCCCCAGAATGTCAGAAGCTGTTAGAACTTTATTTAATAAGCTCACATTTCTAGGATGCCTAATCTCTAAGACTCTAGGTGCATAATAATAATGAACTACAGTTGAGCTGGCAGGGAGGGGATTGGATAAAATAATTTTCTTGCATGCATACCTTAATATCCTTGGTTTGAAACAATCAAGTCCAAACAAGTGGCCTATTCTGCCATCTCTTAAACAGTAGAGTACTTTTTAAAAAGAGACCACAACAATACTAACAGTGATCAGCTTAAATGACTGGACAAACAGAATGCAGCAGATGAAATCCTATGTGTTTCAAGGAGCTCTCTCCTGTAAAACATTTGGGGTGACAAAGAAAGCATTTGTATTCACAGTCACTGCAACTTTTATACAAGAAGGCTTCCTATAGATTTCCTGTCAGGAAGAGAGCTTCCGTTTAAAAGAGTTGAAGTGTTTAGATATAGTACTCATTCCTCCCAAAACTAATATTTGGAAAGGCAAAGGACAGAGTTCATTAAAAAAAAGGAGTCAACCCACAACTAGGACAGAATTACTTTTCCAACTACAGTATCACATGCTATTTTTGCTTTACATCACTCATTTCAACTGCCACTTGTGTTTTACTCTTTAACAATTACAGAGTATTACTCATAGTGGATGTGTCACCTGCTCCCTCCCCTCCAACACCACACGTTCTTGCACTGTAGCACTGCAGATAATTGTCTCCAAGATATTCAGAGATGTAACATCCATTTTACTATGACCTAACACAATACATATTACCTCTCCATCCCTCAAACATGTGCAGGCTATAAACATGTATGCTTGCATCATATTGTACATTCATACATAAACACACACACAGAGGCATTTCAATAGTCATAATCAAGTTAGATCATATTCTAATTTTCTCTCAACACTCGGCTTTTATGAATACAGATTGTGTAGTTTTAATTAGTTGCTATAAAACTCTTAAGAGAAATACAAACATTGCAAGTCTGCCAACAACACTGATTGCCAGAAAATCAAGAAAAGTTGATAGCATTTCTTCAACAGCTTTTATACTATTAAAGTTATAAAAAAAATCTAATTATTTCAGTCTAAAATGTCCCAGTTCAAAAAAAAAAGGGGGGGGGGAGAAAATTGCATGAAGTGATAAAGAATATCAACTTAGATTCTAGATATAAACAGTAAGGCCATATATGTCAGAGGTGTGTTGCTGAACGTACTGCAGCACCTGAACTCCCAACTGCATAGTTACTTTCCAGTTAAACATAAATTCCACCTGTCATTTGTCAATGTATGGTATATTTGGACATATAAAGGTTGTCCATCAAAGTGCATTCAAACAATGTATGTCCTTATACTTATGGTGCTGACAAAAGAATAGTCCCAAGAGTTTCTTACAGCATTAAAAACCAGTTAGAAAGATTAACTATTTATTTATTTATTTATTTATTTAAAGGGCAACAAGTTGAGTAGGTAAGTTAACAAGAGCCCACTAGCCATTGCTTAAAACCAGAGAAACAGGGAATGAGAGATGTATAACCTTTGTATATCAGGTAAAATCCAAAGAAACAAAACAAAACAAGACAAAAACATGTGGCACCCTAAATACTATTACATTTGTTTTGTTTTTGAATTTTGTCTGATATGCTTACACAGACTAACACCACTACCTTCTCCAAAACTATAACCTTTCTAGTTATCTATAACAAATATTCATTTCTTTAAGTTAAAGTAACCTTTATAGGGATAAGGAAATGGCTTGATATTTGGATCAACAATATGGATATTTGACTCACAATAATGAAACATTATGCCTGATTACCACACCAACAAAGAACTCAAACAACAAAGGAGGTTTCCATGGTATGTTTTCCTTCCCTTCAGCAACCATTCAAGTATCATTTCCTTTCCATCTTGCCATCAAAAGATGAATGAAATAAATTGGCAGTATTTTAAAATGGAATATTGAGGAACTTCTTTCCATCATTCTTGACTGAAAGGTTAATACAGTATTTCACTTTGTTATAATCTCAGACATCTTTACTGTTACATTTTGTTTGTACAAACATGTTGGTGCAATGTCCATTATTTCTAAAGAGCTTCTACTGAAGCGATGAATAGATGAACATAACACATGTGATTTGCCATCACAGTCACTCTTTCCTCCCTACCACAAATATTTGCCTTTATTCCTACTACTTTTTATCACCAAAAAAGAACTTCCAAGAAAATTAGCCTAGTGGGACAGGGAAGCAGTATTCACGAGGCCACAACAGCAGTGATGCTTTTTGTTCAGAAAACGAAACACAAAAATGCGTACTGAGACAAATGTGCCTAGCTGGATTAAGAGACAATACTGTATCTGATTTGATAATAATCAATCAGCACAAGGAGACAGGGTGTAATGGGGGAGCCATCTGCAAACACAAGTCCAAGGCATGTTGCTTTGCTGAAAATACAGATGTGGTCATTCCTCTGTCTATTTATTTTATGGGGAAGGGGGTAGGAGGCTTTAAACACCATATTGAGAAGGCCCTGCTGTGTATCTTCCTGAAGTACAAAATGGTGGATGTGAGCTTTAAAAGAAATTGCATTATTCATTACAACCTATGTTAATCAGTCACAACCCCTTTACACAACACAGGGGAGATAAACAAGCATGCCAGATCAAGCCTTGAAACAGACAGATGCATGTGTGCGTGTGTGCGTGTGTGTACCCGCACACGCACATACACAAGAGTATTACAGACCTGATGTCATGTAGCCCCGTGATGCCTGGGAAAGGAAAGCTGGTGGGAAATGTTTGTGCAGGCGGTAGTCCTTTTCACTGCGGGACCTCATGCGATCAGAAGCCCGATCAGAGAAATCAGAGCTAGGCCAGGCTCGCCGTAAGGTGGTACTTCGGGTCTTCTTCATTTTGAGGTTACCTGCAATCTAATCCACCACGAGCAGCAGCAGCAGCAACGGCAGCGGCGGCAACAGCAGCATGAGGTGGGCAGGCCTCACGGCTCGTTCACAGCACTCCCTCCCCGCCCGCCCGCCGCCCCCAACACCTTTTACATCAGTCTCTTTCCAGGCACAGCTCGGCTTGGCTTGGCGAGCAACATTTTGGCCCTAACCTCGTCCATCCAGTAAGCGGCCCGTCGGTGCCTTTCCCCGCCTTGAAAGCGCCAGCGTTACACACGTCCCACAATGCATTACACTACATGGGCACTCCAGCTTCCAGAAGTCATGAGGAAGAAAGAGGGCGAACGGTTGTGGCTCCTAAAGCGTGTGTGTGTGTGTGTGTGTGTGTCGGGGAGGGGGGTATTAGTAGTGAAGGCGGAGGAGAGAGGGGGGAGAGAGACCGAAAAAAAAGGGGGAGGTGGGGAGAAAGAAAAGAGCTGCAGCGCGGAAGCTCGGGGAGGGGGGTCCCAAAACAATAGCTCGATTCAGTGCAGGAGGGCTCAGCCGACGGTGAGGCGGGACACAAAAGGCCCCAGCAAATTGGGCAAAAGCGGGCGGCCTCCGCTTTGGACCCGAAAGGAGGCTGCCAGGAAGCAAAGCAAGGAAGCATCCAATCCGCAATGCAATCCGAGTCGCACCAAGGGCTGGCGGTGGTCGCGGCCAAATGCTGGCTTCCCCTTCTCCCTCCGTCAGCCTATCAAAATCCAAGCAAAACATCCATGAGGCGGCCTTAAAAAATAAATAAAGAAAAAAATCATGGCTGCAGCAGCACACATTCTTTCCCTTCAGCAGCAGCCCTCGCAGCCTCTCCGCCCGCACTGGCACAACATAATTCCTCCCTCGCGCATCTCAAGGTGCAGAAAGACCTACAAAGGCCACCACGGCGTTTCGACGCAGGCGGTCATCATGGCCGGGGCTCCCCGTCTTCTCTTCCACGCTCCCGCAGCTACAGCTTGCCAGTCCCGTCAGTCGCTCCCTCGCCTACTCCTCCTCCTCCTCCTCCTCCTTTCCGCATGCAAGGTTATTCTCCTTTTCCCAGCATTGCATACGCGCCGACGTATTGCTTTTGCAAGCGTCAGAGCGCCCGAAGCCGCCCGGCGACGCGCAGCAGCCGAACGGCAAAATTCATCCAAACGGGTTTGCTTTCCGAAAAAGCCGGCGTCTGCGTGTGGCGCGTCTGCTCCACTGCCCTCGGTGTCTCTCCGGTGGTGGACCTGACTGGAGGCAAGCCCCCCCCCTCCGCCCCTTCTCTCCGCCTCGAATCCAGGGGAGCAGCTACTGAGGCGCAGGAAACGAAGCAGCCACCCAGTGTTATGTTAATCAAGAAGCTGTCTTAACTTAGACGCGCGGAGAGCCAGCCGGACTGCACATTTTCATGTAAAATAGCCTGAGGCTCAACCAAACCTTGGCTTGTGCCCCAGCCTATACGCGGCTTGTGGTTATTTACATACGAAGTTGCGTTTCTCTTTGTATCAAAAAGGGCAATCCAAACTACTATCCCCCTTCTTTTTCTCCTCCTCACAATCACACGAACAAATAAAACAAAACTCCTTCCTTGCCCCCCCAGGGGGGGGTTCCCCTCTTCGTCTGCTGCAGCAAAAACAATGGGAAGTCCTGGGGTTCTTTTATCACTCACGAGGTTTCTTTGCTTAAGCTTTGGTGGGCTAGAATGGTTCTGTAGTCCTTAAAAAACATGACAAAGAAAACGTACTAGTCCTTGATTGATTTTTTTTAAAGCATCAGATTGCCTTGCAGTTTTAATTTGTTTTTTTAAGCGTGCCCTTAAAATACACAATTAATCTGGGTGCCTTTGTTTTCCTAATTTAAGAGAATCCATTTGACAGCTGGAGAGCAACTCTACAACCAACTGGCAGTAGTGCCTCAAAGCACCCACTTACTGTTTGTTTTGCCTCCTCTGCCAACCCAGCAAAATTCATGAGAAAGGCCTGTTGTCTCATGGAAGACCAATAGCAGATTATTAAGGGGCACAAATACAAGCTTGACTGAGAGAAATCTGGTTCCATCTGGGACACAGAATCAGCTGGAGAACATACAAGTAGCAATAGCAGGACTATGTAAAAACTGGTATTTTGTTCTGTCTGGAAGCTCCGAACAGTATCTTCCCACTTCCTCTACTTCTCTCTCCAAAGGCATTGAATGCCTCTTTTAAAAAAAAAGTCACAAATACTCAAAGCCAAGACTTCTTATTGAAAATAATATTTATGTTGCTATTGCTGGGGTATTTTACTATCTCTCTCCTATCCATGTCTAAACTTTCTTTCATCATATATCTGGTCCAAGGTTCTTATACAAACTTTTCCAGTGACCAAATAGACTAAAGATCTTAAAACAATTTTCAACAACTTTCTTTTCTGCATGGAGCTGAAAGGGTCAGCCTCTGAAATCAGGCAAAAAAGAAAATAAAAAATAAAAAAGGCAAAAACACGGTGCTTTAAAGACTGTTATATTTTAATGTAAGCTTTCATGGACCTTGCACAAGGTTTCTTTTTCCACTAACAGGTTCCCTGGTTCTCATAGTTTTGCTCTCCACAGCCAATGACAGGCCACACTCGGCTCTGAATATTTTAAAAAGGCTTCCCCCCCTCCCCCTCTGGAATACATTCCTTATCATTCACATTTCCTGTCATTTATTTCTCCGTATAAACACTTTCCTAGCAGCCAACAAATATTTAGCATTGTACATATGCTTGTCACCTGAACATTTTCCTTGGTCTTTCACCATTGTTACTGAAAATCCTTCAGGCAATCAATGGGAAGGACCTTTATCAGCCATTTTTCCATTCTGCAGTGCAATCCAAGAGTGTCTGGTATACTAGTGCAGTATTATCAAAGAAAGAGATTTTTTTAAAAAAAAAACCATAAAGGCTTAACAGTTAGGAAGAAATGTGACATGTATTGAATCAAAGATTCACAGAGGCAAATCATGTCCATTCATTTGGAGCTGATGCCATTCTCAATCATTCCCCACCATCTAAAGGAAAAAAATGCAAAGCATTTCATTTTCAGACACATTGGATTGCATCAAAAGTATGCATCTCAGCTCATTAAATTGTGTCAGGAACAAGCCTTTTAGTTATGCTGGCAAGTCCTTACCTTACCACAGCATGTGGCAGTTAATACCAAAAGTCTTTTAAGAGTTCCCTTCAAATTATGGTTTAGCATCCTGGCTTGTTCCTATTGTAGCTTTGCTTGTAACCTCGCATGCTGTCTCTATGTGACTGGAGGGATTTTTCTAGGCTGAGGTGATTATCTATCCTGCACTAACCAGTCATTCCTTCCAGCCTTGGAATTCAAAGAGACTCCTGCCTCTCTGCTGAGTGTTTTCTTTCCATTTCTTTCTTTGGTTGGTGTCAAGTTGTTTGCTTACTGTTGATCTGTTCAGTTGGTTCTAAGTATGTGGGCAGTAAAGAAAGCAGCATTCATAAGTGTGTAATTTCAAGCAACTGTAAGTAATTAAATTATTTATTTCTTTTCCTACAAATATTTCAGAGTGAGTTCTTTAGACTTTAAGTGGCAATTAATGAGAAAAGAATGGACTTTCGGGAACTGTAGCAGTTCCAAATGTAGCAATCACTATTTCCCAGTTTGGACAAAAGGAAAAATATGGTTATTTGAAGACTCACTGGCTTACCACAGCATGGAGAAGACAAGGGGTGACTCAAGCAAACATTTTGTGCTTATTTCCACTTATTAAGATGAGATATATTTTGAATCAGGCTAATCTGTTGTTGTCTTCAGTTATTCACAGGTGGCTGCATGCCTTCGTCCTCCACACACCTCTTTGTTGGTCTTCAACTGATCACACATTCTGTAATAAGAGACCCCTTGATTTTGCTTGGATTGTGGATCTTCTTTCAAGTCATCTGATCTCTAATTCACCCCTGAATGTATAAACAAGTCAGAGGTTGAAGTGAGTTCAGAACATTAACCCTAGGCCAAAATAACAGATGGTGTAAAGAAATCCTTTGGCTTCCATGGTTTTATCCATGATTACCAATTCATCACAAGAGCCAAAACCCTCTGACACATGTTTAATTTCACCAATGCCAGTCATCTCATAGTTGCCCTTGTTCTACTGAGAGAGTCTACTTCAGAATGTGTGGTACTGCCTGGTACAGTAATTTTAAAATGTAAAAATTGGTTCAAAAGGTGCTTGGTTTGTTTTAAAGCTGCTTGGTTTTAAAGGTGTTCTGTTTAAAAGGTGTTCCTTCCCTCCCTCTCTCCTTTCCTGCCCTTTTTAAAACCTAGGTTCAGCTTAGGTTAAAAGAAGAAAAATTTCTCCCCCTAGTGGTAGAGGACAGATTAACTGGTTTTGCATTAGTTCCTGTCGCGCACCCCCCCCATGACCCTTATAGGTTTTGCCTCTGACACAGGTTCACCTTTGAGCATGACTTGCTGTTTACCCCTTTTTTGCTGCTGCAGAGGATATTATCCTCACTATATCAATTATGAGCCTCACACTCTTGCTGCCAAACAAAACAAGGTTTATTAAAGGATAAATAAGTGACTCACAGAAGGAAAATCATGGATGTTCATTGTAAGTATATACACAGTATACCCATACAACGAAATTATCATTCATTCATTAAACGTGAATTTGATTACTTATAAGCTTGCTTGTACTCATTTACTTTAATCAAGATCTCAATATTTTCTGACTGTCAGTGCATTTCTAATCCCTTTTAACTCTTTATTATTCTCTAACTAACCAACTGTCCAATATCTAGTCTAAACACTTCACAGTCTTCTCTCTAACTGTCTAAACGCTTCACCATCTTTTTCCTAACTGACTCTCTGTCACATCCAGTTCTCTTGACTCCGCCCCTTCTGTCCTGTCATAGGCTCCTGTACTAGAGCTCTAAAATGACTGACAGGAGTGACATGTGGGCTGTCCACCACATACCTCCCCCCTTGGAAAGTTTGTATCATGAGGTAACACCTACAGTAGATTACCCTCATGAACAACGCATGAGATAACTTACCCATATTTTAAATATCTTCTTTACAACATTGCTCATTTAAACATATACCATATATACTTACTCAATTACATAGTTTAAAGCATATTGATATTATTTAAAGTAATAATTTAAATATAAATTACATTTATCAACATTTTATTACTTACAATACAAATCTTACTTATCATCAATTCATGTATGACTTACATTTTTAATTATTTTTCAAATTAATACACACTTAGAACTTTTAATTGAGCAGTTTTTATCCCATTAAAGTTATGCATTACATTAGTCCCTTTTGTCAGTCTTCTGGTCCTCTTGACAAGTCATCAGGTATCACATTTTGAGTCCCTTTAACCCTCTGGATCTCAAAGTCACAGTCTTGTAGGAGTGTGGCCCATCTCTTCAACTTCTTATAGTTTGCTCTGATAGTCCACAACCACTGCCATGGGGAATGGTCTGTGCATGGAACAAAATGTCTTCCCCATATGTACAGTCCAAGCCTCCGCAACGACCAAATAATCACAGACACTCACGGTCTATGATGGAAATGTGTCTCTCACCAGCCTGCAGCTTCTCACTCAGGAACGTCACCGGATGAAGATTCCCATTGTTATCCTCCTGGCTCAGCACAGCTCGCAGTCTGATGTGGAATGCCTCTGTGAAGACAGTGCACCCTCACTGGAAATCTGATTCTCTCAGGGCAGGACTGGTCATCCGCACAGTCTCCAACCTCTTGAAGGTCTCCTCACAGTCGCCCAACCACTGGATCCCGCCAGCTTTTCTTTTATGGGTTAGGTCCGATAAAGGGGCCTCTATTTCACTGAAGTTCTGGATACAGTGCCTCTCATAGCTAACTAACCCTAAGAATGATCTGAATTTCTTTGTTGTTGGTCTAGGCCAGTATCTGATTTCTTTAATCTTCGATGTGAGGGGTTTGATTATGCCTCCCCCAACACTATGGCTTAAATCTGGGAGTTACCCAGCTGGCATTTGCTAGCCTTCACTGTTACTCCGGCCTCAGTTAACCTCTGTAGCACTTTTTCAATAAGATATAGGTGATCTGTCCACATCTGATTATATGTTCTTATCTCATTGACGTACGCAACCGTGAATTTTCTAAACTTGATCAAGTTCACATGGACCACTCTTTGGCCTTCCTCTCCTTCCTCCTGAATTATGTAATTTATTTCATTCATATTGGAATTTATTCTAACAGGATTTGTCCAGTTTATTTGCAAAAA